TAATTTGATATTCTCTCCCTTTAAAAATAAATCTTCATTCTCTTTTATTGCTATAATTCCCACTGTATGGTATTAAAACATAAATGTACTGAAAATCCAGAAATCCATCGCAGTTTACTACAAAAACCAAACACACATAAAACTACACACATGCACAAAGCTGTGAAAGGCCTACACAGTACGTTTCTTTCAGGTTATCTAATTTCATGTGTGCAGCANTGGTAAAGGGTACAGATTTAAATTTCAGTTCTGCCACTTACTAGCTATGCTGTCTTAGGCAAATTATTTAATCATTTTCATTTATTAAATGGGGATAACAATAACTTATCTTAGAAGGTAGGCATGAGAATTAAATATATATATATATATTAGAAGAATAAACAGTACATTATAAAGCCCTCAAATATATATTAGTTATGACAATAATAATTATGTAATATTTGGAACAACACTTGGCAGAAAACGAACAATCTTTTATGCATAAAATAAGAAATAAATATGGCACAAAGGCTAACAGAAGTTAAGAGACAGGGAAGCTACTGGGGTACGGGAATAACAACAGAACCTGTTTTGAAAGAGCTGACTTTGAATAATGAGTTAAAAGTGAATAGTGATGTAAGGGAAAGTAACCAGGGAAGGGAATAGAGCATAAACAAAAGCATAAAGGCATGAATGGACAGGAATATGGAAAGAAGCCATGTTTCAAAAGCAGTCTGGCAGTGAGGTAGAGGAAACTAGAGATTCTGCATTCTGAGTACTGCTGAGAGGAAACAGTATCCTAAGGGAAGAGCACAAATTTTACTATCCTAGAACACAGCCCTAGCTCCTGACGCATAAGAACCTCCTTACTACCATCAGGAAAAATGCATCTCATTCAAAGATCAATAATACTGAAAATAAAAATCAACTTAAGATTTATATAAGATATAAAAAGGAAAAATAAGAAATTTATTTTTTTAATTTTTAAATTTTTTTTAGCTGAGCCATCCTGCTACCTGTTGGCAGCTCAGCAGCAGCTCGGCTCAGGCCAGGACTCGAACCGCTGTTGCTCGCACTCTTGAGCGAGCTCTTAACTAACTGAGCCACTCGGCCGGCCCTTAGAAATAAATTCTTAACGTGGCAAACGAATCTGAGTCAACAGAAAAATGTAGGCATGTAACAGACGAAAATGGCCAAATACTTTTCCATGAATTATAAAAAAGTTCAGTAAGCAACCCTCCCTATAAAACATGAACAAACATTAGAAATATAAACAGTTGTAGAGATATAAATAGCTGGAAAAGATAGGGTAAGAAAACAAGAGGAAATAATACATGAATTGTCAGAGTTGAAGGAAAAGAGGAACAAAAAATGAAAATATAACAGAAATGAAGGCCAAATTGTTAAGGAGAGAAGATCCTACTAATAATATAGTAATGTAAATGAGATAAAGTATTTAGGAAGCTTGAAGAATTCAACACAAAACAATTTTAATCTTAAAAGGATAAATTAGAAAATGAAAGGAATGAAAGACAAAGGCCACATTCATTTAATTGAAAGAAAACCAAAATACACAAAAAAGCTAACAGAGCAGCCGCATTGGAGTTGCCCTGTCAATATAGCTATAAAATAATCTAAAACAAAGATAAGATGNAGGCTCACTTCAAAAACACGACCCTTGAGACCATCAGATGCAATTTTGGTTCCTTGAGTTCTCGTGACTAGTGTTTTCCCAATATTTCTTATATTGAACATAGCTGGTGCTTTGACATCATACCAATCTTTCTTGGAAAATGGGTCAACCACTTTTTTCTTGGCTCCCTTCTTGCCGCCTTTCGTCAGGTGCTTATTCTTGCCGACCGCCATGGTGCAGCTCAGAGAGCCAAAGGCTGAATACTTACTAAATGTTAGAATCCATGTTCTCTTACTCCAATTTTAAATTCTAAAAATAACCTTATGAACTAGGCATTATCATCTCCATTTTACAAGTGGGGAAATGTGTCAAGTTATGAAGAAACTTAACCAAAATCACACAGCTATTAAGTGGTGGGGCTGGGACTCACGTTTATGCTTTCCTTACTCCTGAATTTGTTTCATCAATAACTTCTTCATCTACTTCTTATGGAGTTGTTATTATAATGGTCATGGACACTGAAATTCCCACATATATCAATTCCATCCCAAATAATGATCAAGCTCTAAACCCATACCCCTCAACAAAGATTAGTTTAAGAATGGTATGGAACACAATTCGAGCTAATGAAACATGAGGATTTTCTGGGGGGACTTCTAGGAAATGTTTTGTTACTTCTACGTGGACATACAGAGAAGAAAAATCTACTTTTATTCCTTTAAAAATTTTCCTCTCTGTATGCAATGTACACAACAGCTACAGCCAACTGGTAGAGGGGTGAGAAAGAAGTCGATTCTATAATGATGACAGAGTAGGCAGAGAAAAAGAAATTGGATCACTGAATCAACCAACCATGAAAACTACCTCTGGGCTTCTCATTATGGGATATAATAACATTTCCTTATTTTTTAAACTCGGGTTTTCTTTTACATGAGCCCAAATAGATTNTGTATTAACTTGCCAAAGGTCACAAAGTATGTAGCAGAAAGACACACACACACACACACACACACACACACACACACACACGTATGTATTTTGCAAACATGAAAGATATAAAAAGATGAAAGCAGACCTAGAGCCTGAACTTCCAAGAAAAGCAGAAAAACTATTTATCAAAGCCTACTTAAGATTGCAAAAATTATAATTTCCATAGTTTTTACTAATCCATTACAATTACAATGTTGGTACTGAAAGCAGAGAAACCATTAAATAAAGTACATAAATTATACTATACTTTTCACTCTTAGTTCTTAGTATTATTAACTGAATGATAAATATTATCAAATATTTATGGATTTCAAATTCACAAACAGGTTTTATGACTTAAAATCATCAGGAAGAGACTATTTAAATTTTATAATTGTTTCTAAATTTGGGCTACCTCATCTATTAAACAGTAATAAGTAAATCTCAACTAACTAGAATCCAAAAGGAGGAAAGTTTAGTTTACTGACTCTTTCCCGTAATAGGATGAATGCCAAAAATATAAGCTCATACAAAGAATTAAAAAAACAAAACAACAGTAACTTCAAGAATATGTTGAGGTTTCCACAAATTTTCTAAATAAGAATAAAATAAATTGATGACACAGAAGCAATGCATGATAACCAAACAAAAACATAATTGTAAGCACTATCCTTTAATAAGTCAAGAAAATAAAATATTACCTTTTTGGAAGATTTATAAGACTTGAAACACAAGTCAGTTTATAGTTGGCTGGTTTTTTTTTAATAGAAGGTTATCAAAACACTTTTCCTTAAACACTACAGTTCACCAAGATTTCTCCTCATCAAATAACAAAAAAATGATTCTATATCCAAACTAATTTAAGATTATTAGTTTCTTTCCCTTGACCTGTGAATAAAGATCTATCATACCTATCCAGAACCATACTAAACAGTAATTCCCTTTTAATTATGTTGACTTTAAGAGTCTGAATCACAGCCACATTTTAAATTTCCTATCAGGCTGTATATAGATACATAGGAGAGGATTTATGAAATAACAGAAGTTTAATGCTTCAAAAAAGGACTGAAAATCAAACAGGATGAAGACTTTAATTCCCAGAGGTTCGTGATACAGAGTGAAAAGTGAATGTGGTTGAACAATTTTAAGTTTTCAAATAAAATCTCCCCACAATGTTGGGAATAGAGGTGAAATTTGCAATTTCCTACAATATCAAGAGATATGTGTGAGTATATTAAAGAAAACACACATACACATCATAGGCTAAAGGGAGCTAAATCTTCAACTATCAAAGGAACTAAATATTTTTTTTAAAGAACCACATTTGGAAGATTTTAAGTATATACTATCTGTATGTGCATAACACTGTAAAATGATTTTCAATGTTTAAAAATATCATCTCTACCTTGCAAGAACTTGCAATGTTATAAGAAATCCAAAAATAAATGAAAAATACAGAAAAATACTAAAAGTCACCATTTATTTTAAATTGAAATAATCAAACGCCAAAAACAAAACAAACAAAAAGTTCCTCAATTAAGCTGACCAGAAAAGAACTGAAATTCCATTTAAAAAACCTTAGAAGAAAACCTACATTGCTCCCCAATCTCCTAAGTAGATCACTTTACCCCTACTTGCAAATAAAAATATCAGAAACTGGTGATTAGACTAAAGCTTTATCAACCTCTTGACAAGGAAGAGAGTTCCATTCTCAGAAAAAAAAAATTAGCCAAGAGTCAAATAATTATATATTAAAAAGAAAAATGAAGCATAAAAGGTGTCAAAAGACCTATTTCTCAGTAATTTAAACACATTTTTCAGGCTACATCTATTGTATAAAATCACCTATGAATAAAACTGTTAAATATAATTTTTATTCTTCCTGTAAGAACAAGATCATAATATTTATAGAAACCATCTATTTCAAATTCTTTAAAAGGAAAAGTAAAAACTTCTATTTTAATCAACACAAACACAATGGCAGAACGTATTATAAAAGCAATTTAGAACCACAACTACCCCACTAAAAACTGTGTTGAAATATTTCTATCAATATAGCTTAAAAACAAAACTCTGGGTCACATGGGTATAATAATATAATGGCAGACTCTGGAGTCAGGCTGCCTGAGCTTATATTCTGGCTTGAACACTTTACAACTGTGTGACCGTAGGCAAAATACTTAAACCTCTCAGTGTTCCATTTCATTATCTATAAAATATGGATAATAATTATACTAATCTCAGAGTGGTAATGATTAAATAAGTTATAAAGATTGCTTAAAAGCTGACAGAATGTAAGTGCTTAATCAATGTTAGCTGATTAATCATAATAATTATCACTGCTCTCAGTATTTTACATTATTCTCAATGAAGACAAGAGATTGACACAATTCTCCCTTTACAGTCAACAGAAACATACAACCAGGGTTTTTAAATACAGTCCTACCTTGCTATACCAGTTGAGACAGGGTTGTACTACATCAGGATCATCAATGCCACTAAGTTCAACATACCAGATGCTAAAGTTAAAGCTGGGTCCCCAGGATAAGAGTGGAACTTTGTGGAGAAGGAGAAAAACAAAACAAAACAAAACAAAACAAAAAAACAAAGAAAGAAAAAAAAATTAACATAGTTCAAACAAAACTTCAGCAAAGTAAAATCACTATTCAAACCTATTAGGATTCATTCGACACATTTTCTGAAAACTTTCTGTATGCGCAGCACTGAACTATTAGGTGCCAGGCCTACAGCAGCAAAAAGAAACACGATCCACGGCATCATGAAGTTTCTTTAATTATAAAGACGTTGTATGATAAATTCAAAGCGGTCACTTATATATCCTCCCTGAAAAAGGAGAGGGCTAGATGATTTTCGCAGGCAAATTTTACCAAACCCACAAGAAACAAATAAATATTATCTAATTTAAATTGTATCAGAGCACAGAAAGAGACTGAAAGTTCAATTACTTCTCAAGGTAATAATCCTAGAATCAAAACCAGAAGAAAAAGGATTGAAGGCCAATCTCAGCTATGAGTATACATTCAAAATTAAAAAAAAAAAGATGCAAAAAAATTCTACTAGGTTTTTACTGTAACTAAACATAGTTCATTTCAGGAATGGAAGGATGGTTTGGTACTAGGAGGGCTATTTTAAAATAATTCACAATGTTAAGAAATCAAAAGAGAAACAAATTTGACTACCTCAAGTGGTGCTAGGAGTAAACTAATAAAACTTACTTTCTAGTCTTTAAAAAACTCTTAATATATAAGAAATAGAAGGTAAAAAAATTTTTTCTTAGCTAGAAGTTTTTTTAAAAGTTATCAAAAACTTCAAAAATACCTAATGGAGAAACATTCAGTATTGCCTCTCAAGTCAGGAACAAGACAAAGAGGCCCAATATCTCTACTATGCAGTATTATATGGGAGATCTGAGCCAACGCTTTAAGGAAAAATCATGCAAATTAAGAAAAAATATTATCACTTGAAAATGATATTGCTATCTGCCTAAAAAATTCAAGAAATTAAACTGAAAAACTTTTAAAAATGTGCATGCAAGGTAAACACAAAAATCACCTTTCCCTATATCTATAATAACTAGAAAATATAATGAAAAACGGCCCCTTTATAACAGCAAAGACAGCTTAAAATATCTCAATAAACTTTAAAATGTGTAAGATCTACTGAAGAAAATACAAAATTTTTACTTAAGAACTGAATAAATGAAAAGACACGCTATGTTCCTAGATGGGAAAATTCAGTGTTGTATAAATGCCAATTCCCCTCAAATTAATTACAAATTTAATGGAATCTCAATCAAAATCCCAATGGCATATATCCATTGTTTCTTGACATGTAACTGCACAAGCTGATCTGAAAATAAGTAACACAAGAGTACCCCAAATAATAAGAGAATGAACACACTGAGTGAATGTTAATGAACATAAAAAGATACAGTAACTATCAGTCTGACAGTGAAGGAGAAGGAAGGTAGTCACTGGAGAAGAGTGTATCCAGAGATCTAAGGAGCCAGAGGAACTGAACGTAGGATGAGATAACATTTCACATTAGTAATGATAGAAGGGAGCAGAGGTTTTTAACCTGTGATCCATGGGCTCCTGGGAATCTCCAAAACACTTTCGGAGGTCCCATGTAGTCAAAACTATCTTTCGTAATGACTAGGCTGTGTGTGCGCGCGCACGCATGTGTGTACTGACATTTACACTCAGGGTGTGTGTGTGTGTGTGTCTGTGTACACTGACATTTGCACTCATGGTGCAAAGGCAAGGATGGGTAAAACTGCTGGCACCTTGGTAGAGCCACGGAAAGTGGGAGCACTAAGGTGAACCAGTATTCCTTACTGCAGTACAGATCACACTGTATTCTTCACCATCACACACTTGCAGTTAAAAAAAAGTTCATTTAAGAATGTCCCTGATGCAGTAAAAACTAATCTGAAATCCCTATCATTAAGTACACATCTTTTAATATTCTGTGTGACACCACAGGAAGTACACATAAAGCACTTTTGCTGCACACCAAAGCATGATGTTATTGCAAGGGAGAGGGCCTGTACAGCTGTTAGGAGTTGTGAGCAAAAGAGCCATTTGTCCCCACTCCCTACAGGACACCACTTTTTCTTTAAAGAAAGACCATCTATGATTATTTAGACTTGGGTATTTGCCAGACACTTACCTGTCATTTCAAAGAAAACAAATGACTATTTGTTGCCAACAATAAAATGGAAGCTTTCAAGGAGAAATGAGAAATTTTGAAAAATTTGTATCCACTGCTGTGAGCTTAACTACTTCCCAATATGTAAGAGTTTTCTGATAACATCAGTGGTGATGCTAATGAGTATTATTATTTTAATATCATATAATGAAATGTTTTAACATTTGGAAGATCTGCCTAACTCAGTGAATCACACTTTCTAAATGACCAATGAATGGTGTTACAAAACCATGCATGGGTAAAAGACTAATTCAAAGTGCAAGAAAGGCCAATGGATCTTAATACTAATATGGTTCAGAGTAAGAAACGAACACTTGTCAAATTTTGATTAAGCAATTCCAAACAATGTCCATCATATCTGACATCAGGGATACTAACTTACAAGTCCACTGCTCTTTTTTAGTATATTGGACTCAATGAGGAGCTAAGATGCAACAGTCAGATGTGTTCCCATATTGTCATCTAAAGGAAGCTGTGTGAGTGCAAGAAGACACAGGCAGTGGCAACCAGCCATTAGGATATATGAAGGGCTGGGATTCTTAATATGGCTTTCAGTTTACATATGCATAATAAAAATTTAAAGAAGTCTTATATCAATGAATACTAAACCATCATCGTTTTGGTGTTCATTTCCTTACGTAGCAGTACCATTTAAAAAACTGATCTACTATATCACAGCAATAACCATCAAGTAGTGTAAGAGTCAGAATAAAATAGGATTCTAAACCCAAGGTTCCAAGAACATAGTTTATAAGTGTAATCAGACATCTAGTATTAATTAGAGATCCGAAATCCATTCTCAAGTCAATAAAATCAGGAGGAAAAAGATCTTCCATTATATCTATTCAAGTCCCAGTAAAATGTTCATTTATTAAAATCTTTCAAGCAATTATGTTTTAATGAGATTTCTTCTATTGAGTTGCCGGAAAAGTCATAATGTATTTTTCTATGTTTTTCGTTGCAAAAATACATCATGACTTTTCCGACAACCCAATATACACCTGATAGCCCAACAGAAATATTTCTAGAATAAAATTAGTTCTAAATCTTAACACCTTTCAAAGAATGCTGTGGAGGGAGGTTAATTAGGAGGTTATCTCATAAGAACATCATATATTACAGATGGATGAAGAATATACAGTTGACCCTTGAACAACAAAAGGCTTGAAGCGCTGATCCTCCGGCAGTCGAAAATTCACATATAACTTTCGGCTCCCCAAAATTCCATTTGTCCCTAGGTATCCATGGAGGAATGAATGGTTCTAGGAATCCCCACGAATACCAAAATCCACAGATGCTCAAGTCCCTTATATACAATGGTATAGATCAATGTATACAGTTGGCCCTCTGTATCCGTGGATTCCCAACCATTGACTGAAAATACAGTTTTTGATCCACAGTTGGTTGAGTCCTGGGATGTGACATCCAGGGATAGAGGGCTGACTGTACATTTACTGAAAAATAATGCATGTGTAGGTGGACCCACGTAGTTCAAATTCGTGTTGTTCAAGGGTCAACTGTAGTTATTTTTAATGGATTGGAGGGATATGTACAGAATGAGCCGAATGATGCACACCCATTTTAAATTTTAACAATTTTTGGTGGTATTAACAACACTAATAATGAGTATTAGGCATACTATGTATTATATGTCAGAAATCTAAATGTGAATTGGAGCTTCAAGCACACATTCTTTTTCCCCCCAATGAAAGATGCCTTTGCTCCCACCTCAAATAAAAAGATTCGAAATTCCAGATATACATTCCCAAGGCTAAGAGTTTGTTTCCTAGGATTCGACCACCAGTTTTCCCCATGGGACAATCAGACACAGATATGATCAGGATCTGTGCTTCTCATCCTTTTTCATAATGGCATGCATAGAAAATGATATTTTTATGATACGCAAG